AAAAGATACATTAAATCAATAAAGAAAACATTACACACACTACGTACCATGTATTTGACGCACACACGCATGCATACTATTTATTGTCAAGCTTTTGTTCTTGACGTCTGTTGTCAAATTGAGAATAGATTAAATATTATTTGTCTTTGTTAATATTTTTTATAGTGTAGTCTTGGCGAAATTTGTGATTATAGAAGTATAAAATACAATCACAATAGTGTACAAACGTACAATTTCAATTAATTATAGTCGAATTTCGACTACTACGGGACCTCTAGTAAAGATAAGTTTCCAAGTATCCCATCTATTATACCAAACATGATTTAATGGGATGTGAATGTCGCCACCCAAATTGAGATGTTAGATTTAACTTGCTATATACTTTGCTCTTTGCCCTAAGACGCGTCTGCTTCATTAGAAATAGACACCATTATAGTACCTATCTATAGGAGCTCGCATGCATGCCAAATAGAATTACACTGATCTAATATATTTTGTTAACGGATCAACGTCGCGTCACAAGTAAAGGAGCTAATCCACAGTGGATATATAGGTATGTATACATGGTTAGTTTATACTCTGTAGAAGTGCGAACGGGAGATATACCAGCGAAATCACTGTATTTTTATTATTATTTTATACGATGGGTGGACGAGCTCACAGCCCACATGGTGTTAAGTGGTTATCGGAGCCCATAAACATCTACAACGTAAATGCGCCACCCACCTTGAGATATAAGTTCTAAGTTCTCAGTATAGTTACAGCGGCTGCCCCACCCTTCAAGCCGAAACGCATTACTGCTTCACGGCAAAAATAGGCAGGGCGGTGGTACGTACCCGTGCGGACTCACAAGAGGTCCTACTAAGAGTAATGTTTTGAAAAGATGTCAACTTTCATGTAACATTAATCAAAGCAGAGCACGGTATATTGAACTGTTTGTGATGCTAGTTTTTAGGATTTAAGTTAATTTAATTAACCCGCACGTTTTGCTACTCATAAGTTAAGTTGCTAATCCTGCACTGGCATCAGAGGTTAGGGGCGTAAGAAAATTTACACCACCAGAATTTTCTATCATTCAGTTTGTCTGTTACTAATATCGGCGTAGCCTGATCGAGTTAAACACAAAGAAGGTAAAATATATATTTTCTTTATTTCAAGTTCCCATTTCTAAAGTGTTAGTAATAAGCATATAAAAAATAGGGGTTGATCGTAGAGGGGTGAAAAAATCAGAGTAATATGAATTTTTTTATTCTAAGTATTCTAAGTATTTTTTTATTCTAAGTACAAAATAAAAACAAATTTCTTGCAAAAAAAATTAAAGTTTTTAATTAATAAATAAAAAAAAGGTTTGATCGTTAATCACTAACGGGACTTAAGTTGACAAAAAATTTATTAGATACACAGTAAAAATTTCCTAAGACATGGAAACAAAATTATTTTATCTAAACATACGGCAGGCATACCGTTTGCTCTGATCGTTCTCGAGACAATCTCGTTTATTACGCGAAGTTGCTCGAATCGTTCACGACTCTGCACTATAGAGAAAAATCGAGAAAACCAACGTTAGGTCTGGTCTCATCTTGTTAAAACTGAAGACTTTTCTGCCCTGCCAAATATGTGTCAGCTTGCTCATCCAAGCTTTAGCCATTTGAGTCCTTCTCTTGATCTTCCGTTCGCTTCCTCCTTCATCAGTCAATAAAGATTTCGCCCGTCGAGAGTTCGCACGTCCGATTCAACTTCAAAATGGCTCGCCTGCCGGAATCTTAATTTAATCGACATCACAGCTCTTAACGGTGGAAGAATTGTCCTTTTTCTGTAGTCGGGCAATCAGCTCTGCAATATTAAATCGTTCTCCTTCTTCTCAAGGTGCCTTTCCACTACTATGACTTGACCGTCAATTAAGTAAACTAGTCATGTTATTATTCGTTCTTAATTAATTTGTCGATCATATTGGATCGGAATCGCAACCGGCTGAGAAGATCTGGCAAGCGGGCTTATATACGGGTTAGGTTTCACTCTCCGAAGAGTTTGACGAGTACCGTTATAAGGATTCCACGGACCTGCTTCTAGTGTTAGAGTTGCAGGTGGTCCAATGATAACGTATCGTATGAATCCACGAGGGCTTGTCTTGGACGAAAACGGTGAATGAGGTGATGATCATAACGCATGGCCACTGCTTTTGATGAAAGATTTCAGTGTGCTTAAGAAGCGAATGCTTGAACTTTATGCATATAAGTACGTTTAAATTTGTTACCGACTGGGTCATCACGGTAGACCGACGGTCCCCCCGGATATTGTAGTTCGGACTTGTATGTAACATGTGCATCTTGAAAATGGTTTTTGTCTATCTCTTACAAAATCTTCTTTTCATGACAGCTACCGCACAGCACCTACATGTTTTTTTTTATTGCCCTTGTAGGCAGAAGAGCATACGGCCCATCTGATGGTGAGTGGTTACCGTTGATGCCAGGGGCAGAGCCAAGCTGCAGCCTACTCTTAAGTACACTCGTTTGAAGAAGGATATGTCATAGCGCTCGGGAAGCACCGTGGAGGGGAGCTCATTCCAAAGCCGGATAGTACGTGGCAAAAAAGTTCTCTGGAAACGCACTGTGGATGAACGCAGTGGCTCCAGGTAGTATGGATGAACTCTGCTTCAGTGGTGGGCAGTGCGATGGTAAAAACAGTGTTGATGATGGTATCATCTCAAACAATTCCTCAAAGCACTTTCCATGGAACATACGGTACATCGTACAGAGGGAACCGAAGTCCCTCCGCAGACCCAGATTGTGAGCCAATTTATTTTCAACCAGTTCGCTGTTATACAGCGTGTTTTTAAAGCTTAAATTACACAATTTTATAATCAATTGGATATACGACTTAATGAATCTGAAGCATATCTACAGTGGCCACCTCGAGCTCCGTCATTAACTAACTCAAATTCATCGATTGACCGTGACCTTGCCATACGCTGAATGAAACAACTTTGCTTGTCCTTGTCACTAATGTCCTAATCACCTTAATTAATTAATGAATAAATAAAATAAATTAATTACTGAATTAATTTAGTACCTATGTATAAAACTCTACTATAATTAATACATTTCAGGTTAAAGTAAGCCTTATTTGTATAAGTGTCAGCTTAAAAAAATTAACAACGAATTTGTATTTTTTTTAATTATTATTATTTACTCTGGCAAACATCGGCGCGGATGACGCGTTTCAAAGAAAAATAATAATATTAAACGAAATCGGTAAAAGATGGTTTTTGTAATCTTTAGGTTTGTTCAAACGTTCTCGTCGCCTTTTATCAACAATCAAAACAAAAATTCAAATTCTTTAAAAATTGTAATTGCTACGTAAATACGTAATTACCACTTCAAAAATAAACCATATTGTAAGACCACACGGGTAGGTGCCACCCTCCTTTTTGTTTCAGTTAAGGGGCCGAACCTCATACGCGATTTCCACGCCTAAGTGATAGGCCTTAGGGCTAGTGGCAGCATACAGGCTATGATACATAAGGGCTCCTGAAACAGCGCTGCTGTTACAACTGTGTGCTTAGTGCGAGTTTTTTAACGTTTTCGATAGCGTAAAAGTTAGCTTATATTTGTATGGAATGGGATCGTTTGCCTAAGTTCACCGCTAGGGGCGCTGTTCCAGCTGCATACAAAATTGGGTTAACTTTTACGCTATCGAGAACGTTAAAAAACTCGCACTAAGCACACTGAACAACAACCTTAGCGGCAAACGTAGGGGCGCCGTTCCAACTCCATACAAATTTGAGTTAACTTTTCCGCGATCGAGAAGATAAAAAACGCGCACTAAGTAAGTAAGTTTTACGAAATTCATTCGGGTGTTTATTTGTGCGCCTGTACAACAAAATACCACAAGATGCTCAGAACCTATATATACATAGGTTTAAGAAAACTATTAAAGAACATCTGTGCAATAAAGCTTACTATAAAGTCAATGATTATCTAGAAGATTGCACAAAGTAGGAATGAGTTGCTCGCTCCGGGCATTTCAATATTGTAAAATTGTTATGTTATAATTACTTATTGTAAAAATGAATATTTAAAAAAATCTAATATTAATTTTTTTTTATCTAATATTTAAAAAAAAAAAGACATGCCCGCTGAGTTTCTTGCCAATTCTTCTCAGGACGGAGGCTAATTCTTGTGAATTGGCGGTAGTTCTTATGACGTTCAACAAGTATGTACTTTCATTTATGTTGAATAAAACTTTTTTGATTTGATTTGATTTGATTTGATTAAGTACATAGAAACCCGGTGAGCCAACTGTGATATACCCGATGGCTTGCTATAGGGCGACGCTACTCGTTTAAAATAATAGCTACGATTGTTGGATTAACTGGACCGATGTCTATTGGTTTATAATCTATCGTTATTCTGTCACATGTACAGCAAAGCAAGTAACCAGTTCATTGTAAACGACTTTGTACATACAGACTTAGTTATTACTCTTTATGCAGACTATCTTTATGGTACAATTGAGATTCCAGAAACGATAGATAATACCATTAAAATAGTTATAGACAAGCAACTCAATCACTCAACAAAAATGTTTACGGGCGTCGGCCACTAGATGGCTTCGCTTCGATTAGTTTCTCATTGCTCCTGTAGATTGCAGTAACAAATATTACCTATCCTATATTTTATTTTTTTATTTTCTGTGCTTAACATATAAGTTTAGGGGCATTCGCTACAAGATGTCGCTAGTTTTCATACAAAAAAATATTTGTCTTAAAGTATCGCAGTTTGAGGGCCCTGCAGTACTTTGACTATGTATTTGCGATAACCTGAAATTTCCATTAACGCAAATTAGTTTTTCCTCAACTTTTATCCATTCGTCAATAGATGCCGCTACAAGTACTGTAATTTACAATCCAATACGTTAAGCTTAAACAATACAGCTGTTTTATACGGTAAAACGAGATTGGCCATACAAACACAATAACACAATCGTGAATCAGTCGTCACAAGGCCGCTCGCGGCGTGGCACGATTACGTAATTCGCTCAATAACTTCCGCGAAATTATTTTTGCCAAATAATTCGATCATTCACACTACGCTACGTCACAACTGGCTAGTGCGTAAAAGAAAATTGTTAACGATAATCATGCGACGTCTAGTCAGTTATCTGTTCTCAATGTCTCGGTCGTGCCGTGAAATGATTTAACTCGTATTTACTTTATCTTATGTGTAAAGGTGACATAGCTTTAATTCTCTTTATCGGGCGTGTATTTAAAAGTAATAGAATGTTTCGCGAGCTACATTCTCGCTGTTAACTCATTACGAATACTGCCATAGTGTAATTTATTTATTTATATTATGTAAGTATTTTATCTCTTTAATTTTTATTAGACTTTTAAATGGATAATTTAGTTCGTAGTTAGGCCATTAAGTACGCACTCGTTATGACATCTTCATTGATTTGAATTTAAAAATTATCATTTCAAGGCCGATAATACTAAAGACTGAACAATTTTATCATTTTCTGTTTCATTTTTTTTGCACGTTCCGTAGGCGTGGTAAAGTAATTTATTAGCACGATAATATAGTGTACAGCGTGATAGATGTAATGATTCATGGCTCGGTAATCCATAAAATCCAAAATATGAACGTGTGTTTTTCCTTCTTTCACACCGAGCGAAGTAACGGATTAAGATGATTTTGTTTAAATTGCTCGCCATGAGTATGAGTCAGTCAGGAAAGTGAAATAGCTTCCTTTTGTCCTGAAACAAAAACTCGTTGCCACGGAAAACTACACTGACATTTTTCCTTAACCACGCTGGCTAAGCATACAATTTCTTCTTTATTGCAAATCGTTTTCATTTTATTCTTTATTTAGTACCTGTTTAGGTTTTTTTTAAGGTTATCATAAAACACTTTTGAAACAGCTAGTAATTTTCTCCTTATCAGTACAGAAAAAAAAAAAACAAAAGAAAAGGGAAATTTTTATACATCAATAAATATTAATTTCGAATTAAGGTATTATTGTAGACTATAATAGTTGTAGAATTGACTGTACCTAGTCCATTAGTGGTTAGTGATCAATTCCCACATCGAGCAAACATTCGTTATTAGTTATTATTATTATTGTAGTAGATTATGGCCTAATTTCGAACAACGCCGGGCGAACATTGGCAGTAAGAAAAAAATCCTTTTCCAAAATTTGTTATTTAAAATTTCTCAACGGTAACTTATTATGTAAGAGTCAGTGAGCTTAGTGCGATTTTTTTTAACGTCCTCGATAGCGTAAAAGTTTACTCAAATTTGTAAGGACTTGTAAAACTACGCTGGCCGCTAGGGGCGCTGTTCCAAGTGCATACAAATTAAATTAACTTTTACGCTGTCGTGAACGTTAAAAAACTCGCACTAAGCACGCAGGTGCCCCAAGGGGTCAGCAACCCCGCGTTTTTATAAACACTAACACAATCGATCACTCGATACAAGCACGTCGGGCGTCTTAATAAGACAAGACAGCTATTGGCGTAGTCCAAAAAAGTTTAGATGTATTTTTTTATTGTATCCATTGAACATAGACTTATTAGTGTACTTAATAGTCACTCCATTTTTTTTTTCTAACAAGGCAAAGAATTTCCTGAATTTTCATCTTATAATAATAACAGATTGGGGTAGGCCGCGGCTTGGCTCTGCCCCTGGCATTGCTGTCCATGAGCGACGGTAACCACTTACCATCAGGTGGGACGTACGCTCGTCTGCCTGCTCGGGCAATAAAAAAAAAGGGGTTTACATGTGATAAAACTGTTTTTTTGTTGTTAGTTTAGATACGCATTTATATGATAGATTCCAGAGTACTGCTTTATTGTTCAGAAACAATGGACTTCATTATCGGAGGTTTGGCTGGAGTCGGAGCCACAATTATAACAAATCCAATGGACGTAGTGAAAACTCGCCTACAGCTACAGGGCGAATTGAAAGCGAAGACCGAACAGTCCACCAGATATAGGGGGATCTTCCATGCGTTATACGTGATCGCTAGGGCCGACGGTGCTTTGGCGCTGCAGAAGGGCCTGGCTCCAGCAATGCTGCTCGGTTTCACCATGAACTCCGTAAGGTTATTGAACTTTGTATTTCTAAAATCTAGTCCAAAGCTAATTAATGGCGTAATTACTGGTGGTAGGACCTCTTGTGAGTCCGCGCGGGTAGATACCACCACCCTGCCTATTTCTGCCGTGAAGCGGTAATGTGTTTCGGTTTGAAGGCCGGGGCAGCCGTTGTAACTAGTTATACTGAGACTTTTGAACTGATATCTCAAGGTGGGTGGCGCATTTACGTCGTAGATGTCTATATATCCAATAACCACTTCACACCAGGTGGGCTATGAGACCGTCCACTCATCTAAGCAATAAAAAAAAGAAGAAGAAAAAAAGCTCCCTAGTTTCGCTTAGTCATCGATGGCGAGTCGAAAGTTTCCACAAAAAATATTCACAAATGAACACTAAAAAAAAAAACTTAATTTAATAGGTAAATTAAGTATATCCAGGTACAACCATAGCGGTTATGGAAAAATTAATTCAATTTGCAATTGGAAAATTTACTCTGAATCTTTTAATATTACGCATGTCACGTTTCTCTCGTAATCTTAAACAGGCACCAAATTTAACAAACAATTGCCTTACTGCTGACCAACAAAGAATAATAATATAATACATAAACAAACTGTTATGTTATGTAATATGTAATGAGAAATAACCAATTAATAGTAATGCTTTTTTTGAATATTTTATATCCTAATCGATATACGGCCCTTGGCCTTGACGATAATTAAAATGGTATATTTGGACAGTAACGTTAAAACTTAATACGTTAACCTCTGTTATAATGTACCAATTGTTTACTTTGACATGATAATGTCACATCCTAACATAGGGCTTAATGTATAACACACAAAACAGAACAGAAATAGAACAACTATCTATCTCTTCAAACTGCAACACATCACCGAGAAGGTGATCAACACATCTGCTCTCCATGAATTTTTTTTACATTACTTATATGGATGAACGAGCTCAAGGCCCACCTTATGTTAAGTGGTTACCGAAGCTCATAGACATCTACAATGTTAATGCGCTACCCACCTTGAGATATGAGTTCTAAGGTCTCAGTATAGTAACAACGGCCGTCCCGCCCTTCAAACCTAAACGCATTACTGCTTCACGGCAGAAATAAGCAGGGCGGTGGTACCTACCCGCGCGGACTCCTAAGAGGTCCTACCAGTAATAACGCAAATTATAATTTTGCGGGTTTGATTTTTATTACACGATTTTATTCCTTCACCGTGGAAGTCAATCGTGAACATTTGTTAAAGACATATTTCATTAGAAAAATTGATACCCGCCTGCGGGATTCGAACACCGGTGTATCGCTCAACACGAATGCACCGGACGTCTTATCCTTTAGGCCACGGCGACTTTTTAAAAGTGCTTAAGCAATCGAAATAAGTTTTGGAAATGTCTCACTCTTCTAACTGCAACACTGAGAAAGTACCCCTGTTTACTCCATCTATTTTTAAATTATTTCCCGATACAGACTAGGTATGTACCACGTTGCCGAGGTGCAGGGCTGGACTAAGACAAAAGACGGCGAAATAAGTGTCAACAGAGCGATATTCTGGTCGAGCGCGAGCGGCGTGCTGAGTGGGGTGGCTGCTAATCCAACCTTCGTTCTGAAGACCAGGATACAAGCCGTGGCTCACCCTAGCATCGCAGTGGGCAGGCAACACAGTTACAAAGGTCTGTAAAGTGGCTGGAGCTTGTAGAGATAAATTTAAATATGTAGCCTCATATACATAGTTCCGTATGTTGAATTCTAGACTAAACTGTTGATAGTATTAACATGATTCTCCTTTGTCGTTCTGTCATTAATAAGGATCGCGTTTCCGTGTAATCTGGATCAACGAAATCGTTGTCTCTGGTCGTAATTACAATTTAAAAAATAAAAACTAATCGAGGCGGGAAAAGATGTAGGAGCATCTAGGATAGGAGGGGATGCATGTAGGAGGATGTTTTAGACAACAGGACCAATCTAAAAGCTAATAATGTCTGTGTCGTACGCACTAAAAAGCATAAAAACATCAGACATTGTCGAAAGCATTTATCATGTCGACCTATAGTTTAAGGAAGCATATTCCTTGTTATTTTCCACCTTGCAAGCATGCCTAATAAGAATTAATATACATTTAAAAAAAGACAGCCTTTGGTAAAAACTATAGGAATGTTCGACGGCATAGCCACGATATACAGAAACGAGGGCATGCGAGGGTTCTTCGCTGGAGTCTCAGCCACATGCACCAGACTCGCGATCGGCAGCGCGGCTCAATTGACGACTTTCTCAACGTAAGTCCTGTTCTGATTTAATGTGGTTGCGAAAGCGTGCCTTTAATACATACATATACATTTAATATATACAATATATTCCACCTTTAGAATTGAAGTGGCTTTATCCAAAATTCTTATTTTTTGGTAGAGTTCAAAAATGTAATTGAAGAATTGTAATTTTTTTAGTTTTTCAATTTTAATACGTACTTTAAGATATGCGCTTTATTTGAAAGAGAAGGAAACCGTACTGCATCCTTTTATTGACTAAAATAGACTTTTTAATTTTATAAACTAACTAGCTGACCCGGCAGACTTCGTAGTGCCTTAATTGATAAATAAAAGACCTAAGCTTCTGCATAAAATAAACTTAAAACAAACAAAAGGAATCCGTCCGACGGGGGACACATCAAAGGAAAAACAAAATTGGTATTTTTATTTAATTCCGAGCATTTTTATTTACCTTTTAAACCTTCTCTGGACTTACATAAATAATTCAAGACCAAAGTTAGCCAAATCGGTCCAGCCGTTCTCGAGTTTTAGCGAGACTAACGAACAGCAATTCATTTTTATATATATAGATAGAATATATGTTTATAAGTGCTTTGAAGTATGAAACCAATTTAATTAAAATTTTTAGATAAGCCACTTCGATTCTAAAGGTGCAAATATTCTCTCCTACCATATATGCTTGGGTCACGTAAGGTTCGGCCGGTCTTTTTTTGCTGACTCGCTCACGACTCTACATAACATGTGAATAAGTGTAATAAGTTCGACTCATAAACCATTAATTCGTTTTGGAATTGCGAACATTGCTAAAGAGAACAAAGCCTTGAAATAGGTGTGGGCGTGGAGGAGGTGGTAACTAAAGCAGGCAAAGCTTTATTACTGATATGATGAGCATTAACGGTAGGCAGCGGCTTGGCTTTGCCCCTGGCATTGCTGAGGTCCATGGGCGACGGTAACCACTCATCATCAGGAGGGCCGTATGCTCGTCTGCCTACAAGGGCAATAAAAAAGAGCATCGGCAAGAAATTAAAAACGCAAAGGGGTCTCACTCACCCCTTTTCCCCTTCGTTATATCTGTGTTTGTTTCTTCTTTTTTAATTTTGTCGCGCACCGTATAGACCTTTCCTAATAGTTTAAAGAGACAATAAGTTTTTTGATCGCAATATAAAATTACGAATGACTATTTAGTTTTCACCAAACGCTTTCAGTTTGAAAAACATTGTAACAATAAAATAAAAAAATGTGCGATGACAAGCATCTAAACAATTAACATTGCGGTTTCAAGAAATTAGTATCTACTTAATTTAAATAATTTATTCTAAACTAACAAAATTACCATACAATAATTAATTGATAATGAATTGACTAAACCGTTTCCACTGTATATTGAGAAAGAATTCCCCAACATCCTGATAAATATTTGCTTTATTAGCGGGACGATGTTTCGATCCGACTTTATGTGAGTCAGTGCGGCAAATGCGATGTTTGAGTATGCAATGGGACTTATGGCGCCAAAGATAGGACTAAAAATGAATAGAGAGAATAATAGACATTAAAGAAAAATAATAAAATTGCTTCAAATTAGCTTCAAATAAGTAGTAAATATTTTGTCGTGTAAAAAACCCTTAACTCATTCCTAAATTTACTAAGTGATGAATGAATTTAGATACCCAAATGTAAATATCCCTGTTATAGTCATGAGACAATAATGCTTGCACTGCTCATCAATTAGCATTAGGTTTGGTGAATTCAATTTGGTTATGCGCCTATGGCCTTATAAACAGTAATGAGATTTCAAGTGGGGGTTGCTATGGTGACGGTATACCCTTGAACCACGGGTATTGTTTAACACCCGCTTTTATTAACAAAATTGTTTGGCATTAAATCAAAATTTCAGCACAAAAGAAACACTGGTTTCGTATGGAATCTGCCAGAAGTCACCATTCGGGTTGGCGTTCCTCTCCAGTGCCCTCAGTGGTGTGGTGGTATCCTTGGTCATTTGCCCTTTCGACGTCACCACCGTCCGACTATACAACCAGGGTAAAATGGCATAGTTCTAGTAATTACATCAACAATGGGATGTTTTCTTTAATGTTTTCATAATTTATGTGACACAAATTGAAAACGATTTTTTGCGCGAAACTTTTTTTATTTTTGTACTTAAAAACCAAATTATTTTGATCTACAAACTTTATATTTAAAAAAAAAACAATATTCTTCCATAATTCATCCAAATACAACCCTTGATCTATAAATATCATTATACATTTGTTGATTTGGAATCCAAGATAAGTTTGCCTTAACTTCTGCTTCTCGACGGAAACAATCGCTTTCAGTTCTTAAATGCCAAATCGATCCATTCCAATTCGATCCAGTCAAATATTTGTATAAAATCATCATGTAAAAATCACGAAATAATTACAGAGTAAAAGAAGAACTTCGTTCGCGCGGTTACTGGGAGAATTCGCCGACGATGTTAGCGTTCGTGGCCAGTTTGTTTAGCAGTGTGTTGTGTGTGGTTTTCGAAACACCACTAGATGTCGTCAACACGAGGCTTTACAACCAGGGTAATAATGGGTTTTCGTAAATGTACTCCACAAATTTCCACTTCCGATTGGTGAACGTTGAAAAGTTTTAATTGGGAGGGTTTTCGCTATCACACGCTTAAGCTGAGCATTTCAGCTACGGAACTCCTGTTTTTTTAATCTTGCAGAAAACTAAATTATTTCTTCCTAGAGTACGTGAAATAAAATCTATTAAACAATGAACATTACAAATACAAAACATGCCATAAATTGTGATCATTAAAATGGATCATTGCCTACCTGCTAATGGCGATTTCCTTCAGACTACCTTATACAATGTCCGACAAGGTGGTTCGACCAAATCCGCACCACACTAGAGATTCCATTCCACAACGCCCTTCATGCGGCCAATGATCGGAGGCGCTGGCGGGACATTACAAGGAGTAAAATCATGTCGAAGTATAATGGTCACGACCCTCAGCAGCGAGGAAACGACGCGGACCTTATACAAAAACAACTAACACATAAATATATTGTTACAAATTAATAAATATGCCATCTATACTCGTAAATATAGCCAGAATACAAAGCTACGCGCAACAAGTACACATTTCATAGCGTCTTCAATGAGATGACGGTTCTTGGCGAAAAGTCTGCATCTTGTATTTTAGGTCGAATATTTTGTATTAATTTTCGTTTGCATTATAATTTTGTTGTTCAATGAAAATTATCAACTCGTCGATAATAAAGCATTTCGCGGCAGAATTAGGTAGCATTGCGCTGGTCTATCCTGCCAAAATAAGTCATATCGCACTACTAAACACTTCTTTCTCCTTTTATTCATAGTTTTCAAAGCAAATTAAATGGATTTAACGTGAGAGTGGTGACGGGAAGGTCTCTTTTCTAATTCACACATATGGTTCGGATGAATGTAAAAAAAATGCCTCGGGAATGGTACTTCTTTTCTGGATAAATGTATGTCCTTTTATATAATATGTAATTTTCTGTATCCCTGTGGGTATCATGATCGGTTAAATAAATAGACATGAATGATTTTCACAAAAGATTTTGATGAAAGATTTCAAATAATTTTCACATTTGTAATTGTAATAATACATGCGTGGATAGTGAGAAACTTAACTCGGAAAATATTTATCTTTGAAAGTATTGAAAGTGTTATCACTCACATTTTTCGGAATTGATTTTTATTCACCAGTTTCTTCTTTTACTATGTACTTATTTATTCTTTATTTCTGTTTGAAAACATTCTGCATGATAACTTATCTTTCAAAAGCTTTTAAAATTTAAAAAATGCTTATATTGGTTGTTTTTATTGGAGTGGAGAGGTTACGGTCGTCTTGTGTTAAGCGCTAACCTTAAAACAAGTATAGCAATGGGACCAGTTGAGTATGTATCAACTATAGCGAAAGCCCTCATGAAGAATTAGGGGAGAACAAGGTAGGAAAAATGGTAAGAAAAGACTACGAACAACCGATAGATGAAACTAATATTCACCTATATCAGTATCTTACTAATAACCTCGATTAGTAGAGAAACTGAAACAGTAGTAGCCTGCATTAATTAGTAGCTCAGAGTATTATTCTGCAAGTCCTCTGATCTCTACATAGGATCTTAATTTATCCACTCTTCCCTAATATCATTTTTATAAACACCATAATCAGCTGATTTTGGTTAATTTAGAAACCACTTTTTTGTAAAGTAAAAAACGTATTTTTAATTTCTAAGTCATGGTCCACGTTTTAAGCCCTATCGATCTGATCTTTCAACTTTCATGTCTCCCTGATAGTGTTGTAAAAGGCGACCAAGTTATTCACCGGGAAATGGGAAGGGGCTGCAATCGCTATAGGGCATTTACTGGTGGTATCGCTAGTTAGATTGCATGGGTAAGCACCACCCTCCTTAACTGCCTCTTTCTGCCGCTAATCAGTCTTATATCCCGATTTGAAAAGTAGTACAGCCGTTGTACAGTACAGTTCGAGACTGACTCCATGTGTCAATCGCAAGTCGTTAAAACAAATCTAGGCTCCGTACAGACGGATTCAGAGTAACTCCCAAGTTCCAAGCAAGTCCAAGCACTTCCAATGTCGGATCTGTGTCATCTTAAAAGAGCTCAAGCGACGAGCACGATAATAAATTAAAGTATTAGCCTAAACCTACCTGTTAATTAATGAAAAATTACAATAACAATCCGCAAATTAAGTACCTACATCTTTCAAAAGGTTTTTTGTCGCGATTATAAAACTATGGTATTTTTCTATTGCCAGCGACGATGTTAATGAAATATGTCTTTCAGGTTCGGGTTCCCACGGCGCAGTCCTATACACGGGCATCCTGGACTGCATTACAAAAATATACAAGACAGAAGGCTTCCATGGGCTCTACAAGGGCTTGGGACCGCTGTACCTCAGGATAGCACCGCACACGACCCTGTCACTAGTTATATGGGACATTTTGAACAATATGCTGATACACAAGAAGCTTTAACATTTTCGGTCGTTTTATTTCTCTCCCCTCATATAGAAGCGAGTATTATAATATTTAACCCTCATTCTACAGCAGCTGTTTTGATCAATGTATGAATTCCACTTATTTCCAAATTCGATTGCAAATTTTGTTTCTAAATTGCCGTTTCAAATTGACGCGTCATCTTTCCACTATGTATATTTCTTAGATCTCCGTAGAGTATATTACTTATGTTAATGAGTCAAAGTCGTGAATAGTCGATACTAGCGTATATCATGAGCTAGCAGCTTTAATCCTGGGCCTATAGATAGGTGAAAACAGTCCAGATGCATTCCAGTTGTTCCACTTTTAGTGGTGGGAGGAGTTTGAAGCGTTATGACTGAACTGAATACCCACATTTACATTGCGATATCCAAGGGTTTCGGTAACCACTCAAGGTGGACCGAGAGGCCATTATTCCGCCCAGCCCAGCGCAATAACAACAAACAATACAGACAAAGGAGCAGACAACAAATATTAAACTACATATCTAAAGATATGATATAGTTTAATATTTAATATGATCCCTGCTAGAAAACCAACGGGGCAATGGCGACCGAGCAATGGCGGTATAACCATACACACCCATCAGGGCAACCTGCACGGAAGAGGCATCAGAAACCTTGGGGATCAAATACCCCCTAAAATGCTGGTGCAGAAGGCAACGGAAAACCACCACAAATTTCCCATGAGAGTCATGAGCAGGTCGTATATTCGACTGATGCATGACCACGATCACTCTGTCAAGAGTGTCCAAATAAGAAGAAGAAACTAAAGATTTTAAATGTAACGTTTCAATGTAATGCTAAGATTATTAAACTACCTACTTACCTTTTATACTTTACCCCAGTGGAACTAAATAATACATAAACACAGTTACGGTCTTTAACGTATACAGGGATTTTATCGTGTAGGAATAACGTAAACACAGACCTTTTGAATGTTTACTAAATGAATAACCTTAAAAATGAATATTAAAATACCACAGAACATCATTTACCTACGTCGGGTATTTGGCGGTGAATATTGTAACTCCCAATAAAAAATTGAAGAACATTCAGAACTCAAGTCTTCCTCAAAACTTAAATTATTCTCAGATTGATCATCTAGACGGTTGCTCCTTCGACATATATCCAATTCCGATCGTTGAAAATCTAACGATACGCCATCTAATGCTGTTTTGTTCGAATATCTCTGTCTTTTCTCTGAATTTCTTTTAATCTGAGCATCATGACTGCTACCGGTGATACTGTATTTCAACGGTTGATATTCCTTATGGGAGACTCCATCTCGCACTTGCATTTCAAGGCAATATCGCCCGTCTAACTTAGTAATTAAAACTGTAGGTTTGTCTTTTGCATCCTTCATAGGTTTTTCAGCTGGTTTCGACTTTATCGAAGTCGCGTTCCGCAATTTCCCTGCCTTAAAAATACGTAGGAGACGCTTAGAAATGGCACCTGGCTTCCACCCATTTTTCACCTGATAATATCATAAGTATTCATTAAATAACATAAAATAGAAAGTAAGTATTCAAAAAAAAAGAAAAAAAACGCTTACTTTACGAATCTTCAAAATGAAAAATACTGAAAAACTTCAATTAAAAGAGGTTAACATGAAACAAGAAAAGAGGACATAAATAATTTTCATCTTATATAACGTAACAAAATGTAACCTAAAACCATTAACAGATTAACTTAATACATATTACATACAACAATAAATTATGCATCAAATCAAACAATAACTTAAACACAGTAACACACTCAGCCCGCTTGAGTATTAGCACACTTGCTGTTCGCTGACAATGCGAGAAGCTTCTCTATTTGTTGTTGTTTCATCAACTCAGAGTTTATAAACGAATGAAAACACGGTACGTGAAAAGAACTCAAACTAATGCCTTGACCTTTTAAAGTATCTAGCCTCTGTTCCGGTCTAGTATTCTTGAAGTCTTTTAAACGGAAATATGTTTTATTTCCAAACTCATCCATGGCTACAACACCTTTATCGGAGGGTACAGGATGTTTACATTTAACCTTTTCTAAAAGGGAAGTGTAAACGTTATTTGCCACTCTTTGCTCGTTGTTGTCTTTCCTCTTGCTTGACAGAGGACTTTTTGGAATAACAAATGGTTGAGGAATTTTGACATCGTCTCCATGGGCTAGCATGTCTTTTAATGTCGACAGCAAAAGCTTTTTGTCTTGTCCGTGGCCTAAAATACCCATTTTTGATAAGTCCTTCGGTGATGCGTCACCAAAACAACTCCAGCTTGCTTCAGAAGGCTTGTATGTGGGTTTAATACCACTTTTATCGCCCTTTCTGCTCTTCTTTAGCGACGTTATGTTTCGAGATTTTTTATAAAATCTCCATTTTCCTTGGGGATCAATAAAGCCATCAATCCCTACGACCAACCATTTTCCGTTCACCATTTGGAATTTTCCAGTTTCACAATCAACTTGTTCATTATTTGGACCGATGAAATTGTTCGGTGCCCATCGTCCGTCCGGAGCAACGTAACCATCGATGTTTATATCCAACCACTTGTGATCAGGACTCCAAAATCCGCCCAGGTCGCTACATTGCTGCTTTCCATCGGGCCCCTTGAAGAACCTAGGAACAGGATTACCATATCTGTCCAAAAGCTTTACTCTGTAATCCAGGTATGTGTATTGGGTGGTGTTGTCAACTTTTAAAACTTTCTTTTTTTTGTAACCCGAATCATAATATGCAACAGGTGGTGTGAATTCAATAAGCCATTCATCAGAATCCGTTTCTGAGGCCATTGTTGAACTATCCGCCGAACATGAACACGATGCATCGATGTTGGCTTTGACTTCGTCCGTAATCGCTGGAAAGCATGGACAGTCAGGACTTTCGGCATCGGGTAAAATACCAAGGGCTTGTTGATAAGTTTTCAAACATATTTCACGGCAAACGTCTTTGAAAGCGCTTTGCACAAATTGTCGCTGGGCTCTTTCAAGGCGTCTTTGTTCTCGTTCTTTTCTTTTCTGTCGCTGCTTATTCTCCTCATCCGTCCTCCCTATGGTGTATGTGACTAGAGGTTTCTCTTCATACGGAACTTGATTCACAGCTCTCGGTTTCGCATATGTTTTCATTGTTTCCATAGTCACAGTGTATTCACCATCTTTCTTTTGTACCACTAGCAAAGGTCTCTTTAAAGGCCTTTTCTTCTTCCCAGTGTCTTTTTTCTTCTTTTTAGTTAAGACATCATCTGGATTTCGTGCTATTCTAAGTAACCTCACTACATGTTTATTTGTGGCTCCTGGCTTCCACATCGGGCGAAACTATGAAAAAAAAAAACAAAATAAAAAAAAAAACAAAGATGTATCTCTATTTAGCAAAAAGAAATTATAAGATACCTTCAAGCCTGGCACATTATCAGCTGTCCACAACCATCCCATATTTTTAGGTACTACTCCTAAAGTGCCAGTACAGGGTAAAGCACATTGACTGTGTCCTATCTGAGGGGCTGTAACATAAAAAAATATTTATGCACAATTAATTTTAGCGCAAACTTTGATGAAAAAAAAAAACAAAGTACGTACGTATACCTTGATATCCGTAATTGAATTTAAATCTGTCATCTTTATTTTTCTTTTTCCCTTTTTTAGTATCTCTTTCGGATTCTACGCTCTTATCTGGAGCAGCTGACCTTTTGTCTGATGCTGCCGATTTTGAACCTTTACCACTTCTTTGACTGTCGTCCTTCTTTTTACTTTCACTGCCAGATGTACTTAACGTTTTAAGCTTATTTTTATCAACAAGCTTATGGAATATGGGACAGGGGAAAATCTCCTGTCCCTTATGAAGGTCCTCGCCAGTATTTTCGTAACCTCCACATGTGGTACAATACGTTGTTTTCCTTGTAAACCCAAACGTGCACTCACAAGAGCAAAAACATGGACCTTTATCAGTCAAATTAGCGTTAATTTTTCCACTAATTTCGTCAACTGTTTCAATAATATTGCAGCAACCTTTTTGTAGATCAGATAAATCAAGGCGAATCCCGTGGTCTGGTTTACAATTATTTTTTTCAGAATTCGTTTTTTCACATTGGGGATTATCGCATTTTGTAATATTTAGCACGCCAATTTTTTCTTCCGGCAAACTAGGCCGATTGCTGTCAACGGTAAAATAATTGACAGAGTAAACTTGGTTTTTCTTTGGACCATTATCTTCTCCCAATATGTAATTTAGTAGGTCTATTTGTCTTTCGTTCACTAATTCAGATTCATTAGAATTATTTTCTGTGCAAACACTTTCTATAGGTTCATCATTTCTTTCAAAGTTTGAACTTTTATTCAAAATATTACTGTGAGATCGATCCAGATTTTTAACTTCATTAAAATTATCTTTGGATTTATTTATCAGTGACCTTCTACCACTTTTATGTGCGTAATTCAAATGTTTACTATTGAAAGCGGTATTGATTGTATCATTCTTAAAATCGTTAATCAATGGCTTTTTGATAAACGATGTTTTGCTTCTAATTGAAGCATTTAAAATATTGCACGTATTATCATTTACAAGCGCTAATCGTATATTTACTTTAAAAATCACTATACATTCTGCCGAATGATTAGACGGACCATAGCAATCGGCGGAAAACTGAACAGATTCTGGATTATCCCCATGCAAAAGTTTCGATAAATAATCATATGTCATTGGATCCCACGGTATTTTTGTTTCACCAAATAACTGTGTAGAATTTTCCTTTTTGTATATTAAGATACAAATAGGATTTAACTTTATAGTTTTCATTAGCAATCTAATGTTCATAGGAAATAAAATGGATTGGCACAATTGCTTCTTTTCTTCTATTGGAAGTGATTCATCTGATTCATGGCAAACCTTTGATTTTCTAATTTTCTTCCTCCTGCCCTTATTACTGCTATGAATACTAGATAAATCTATTGTGAATACATCTGCAAATTTGACTTTAAGAAGGAATTCTTTGTCAGAGCTGCCTGTCTTAAAGCTATTTGCAGTGATCTCAAATAAGAACATCGAATCCGAAAAAGTCATTTTTTAAAAACACTTTCTAATACAGGATTCTTTCTAAATTGCTTTTTGGTAAATCTTTACCACATGATTTTTTCCCTAGAGTAATTCTAACCGAATTATAAAATAAAATACTTGCAATTTATTCCGCTGCCGAAATTTATGTGACAAACTGTTTTTATAATTTGTTTGTACTTGACATTTTTTGACAACTGTTTTTAAAGGTTTTCAATTTTATAATGAAGGTCAATATCTGTTTAAGTAACTAATGAATACTTAGGACAAACTGTTCAGCTGAGTTAGCCTAACTTTGAGAAAGTGGCCAATCGTCGAATTTAACTCGGATCGGTAGCGGTTAGAAAATTAGCCAGAATTTTCTCATCCCAAATACTGCAATGAATATTGCCAGTAATGACATACAGTGAGAAGAGTCACCCAAGGAGCAATAGACTTTGCTAGGAGTTTCAGCAGCGGGACACTTTGCTCGCAGAACAAATATCTGCAGGGGTCAAAAAGGGGTCTCGGGTAGAGCCCGCGCATCATAAGGTGCAGCATGAGCAGGTCACCCACAACGTGGATCGAAAACCTGTAAAAGGTCGCAGGAATCCACTGGCTGCGGGTGGTGCCTGAGCTAGTTCATCACATTAGTTCCAGTAATTGTGACAAATCTCGGGGTAGTCCTACGTGCAGCAGTGGTAGTCTATAGCCTTATTGACTGACTCAATGACACAATCGCACAGCGCCCCTGATCCTGAGCTCGTTTATATGAAATTATTATTATCATTATTTTATTGCTTAGATGGTTATACGAGCTCACAGCCCACATGGTGTTAAGTGGTTACTGGAGCCCATAGACATCTACGACGTAAATCCACCTTAAGATATCAGTTCTAAGGTCTCAGTATAGTTACAATGGCTGCCCCGCCCTTCAAACCGAAACGCATTACTGTACTGTTTCAGGGCAGAAATAGGCAGGGTGGTGGTACCTACCCGCGCGGACTCACAAGAGGTCCTACCACCAGTAATTACGCAAATTATAATTTCTCGTATTTGATTTTTATTACACGTTGTTATTCCTTCACCATGGAAGTCAATCGTGAACATTTGTTGAGTACGTATTTCATTAGAAAAATTGGTACCCGCCTGGGATTCGAACACCGGTGCATCGCTCAGCACGAATGCACCGAACGTCTTTATCCTTTAGACCACGACGACCTCAACGACGACGTGATTTGTCTCCGATTATTTAGGCTGATGGTGATGACAGAATTTAATTCTGAGCTCTTCAAATTAGAAATAGGCAGATGAGTCTGCGAAGCAGTCATGCATACCAAATTAAACAGCCTTATTATGCAAACAATTAAGATGAAAATATTTTTCACGCTACTTTACAAGCTGGACTTGAAATTAAACACGCTAAACAGATGATTAGTATCTTGCATTTAAGATGCTTATCAACGGCTTTGATTGTTAGACTAAAACTCGTGAAGGCTCATATCTTTTTCTTGAGAAACAAGAATAAAACGAAATGATAAAATAGTTTACATCTAATTTAACATTTTGTTAATGATGATTCACGTGTACAATTTGAATAATTCTTACTGAGCGACGAGTCATGCATAGTGAAGGGGGAAATTTTCTTTCGGGGTGTATTTGAGGCTCTGTTAGCTTTCATCGGAGGTTTCAACTCTCTCAGATCATCGTATATTTCGAGTCCTTGCATTATTTCGCGATATTTAGCTAGTTTTTTGGGATCCATATACGACATTCCTTGGGACTTAGCCGGCGACTTACTTCTAGTATATTTAACAGCAACATTCATAACAATTGGGTTCTTCGATTTCGGTACCGAATTAGAAACACTTTTCCGTGTTTTATTTTCGTTATTGAAATTAACTTTTGCAGGGAGCGCTTTTTTACTTTTAGCACCGATCTCTGGAGTTATTTGTGGGCTTTTACCCTTTTCATCGAGCTTACTTTTCTGTACCAAGTCCGGTTTAACCTCTTTGATAATTTTTTTATTACCAATAGTCGATGATGTTAAAGTTGATTTTGATTTACCACTCCTAGCTCCTCTCGACTTGGAGTACCACGCCCATTTTCCATCTTTGTCGATGTAGCCATCCACACCAATCTTCAAATTACGACCATTGCTGTCCGTGAAAAAACCCTCTTCGGCAGAGTAAAACATACCATCGGGTCCGGTAAAGTTCATTGGTACCCAACGATTATCTGGACCTATGTATCCATCTTTGTTTATTTCCATCCAGAAATGATCCGGGCCCCAGAAACCACCTAGATCACTGCATTCTTGTTTCCCATCCGGGCCTTTAAAGAACCTTGGTACAGGACTACCATGTTTATCTACTAATTTAACTTTGTAATCCAAATAAGTGTATTGGGTCTCGTTGTCATTCAAGAGCGGAGGGTGTTTAGCTTTTGCATCCCACTTTGCTGCCGGCGGACTGAATTCGATAGTCCATTCGTCACCATCGGTATCGCTACTGGAAACACTAGCTTCGTCAGAGCAGGAGCACGAGTCAATCGGAGGAGTTAGGTTTTCGAGAGGTTGAGTGCTGCAAGGACAATCTGGATCATTGGGGTTTGGCGGTGGAAGCAAACCTATGGCTTGGTTGTACGCTTTCAAACAAATTTCTTGACATTTATCTCTGAATGTGGACTGTAACAATCTACTCTTTCTTCTCGTTTCTCTACGTTCTTTCCTCTCACGACGTTTTTGTATTTTAACTTTTTCTTCTTCCGTNAGGTTTTCGAGAGGTTGAGTGCTGCAAGGACAATCTGGATCATTGGGGTTTGGCGGTGGAAGCAAACCTATGGCTTGGTTGTACGCTTTCAAACAAATTTCTTGACATTTATCTCTGAATGTGGACTGTAACAATCTACTCTTTCTTCTCGTTTCTCTACGTTCTTTCCTCTCACGACGTTTTTGTATTTTAACTTTTTCTTCTTCCGTTTTACCAATAGTGTAAACTAGAGGTTGTTTTTCTTCGTAAGGAAATTGGTGAACTAAACGTTCTTTTGAATACTGTTTTAGAACTTCCATCTGTACTGTGTACTCTCCGTCTTTTTTCGTAACCACAATTGTCGGTTTAAGCTCTATCTTTTTCTTTCTTTGCTGCTGGGCTCTCTTTTTCTTGGCTAAAACATCGACACCTTCCCTCAAAGCTCTGTATCTCCTTACCAATATTTTATTAGCTGCTCCTGGTTTCCATTTAGGCCTTGGCTGTAAGTAATTTATTTGTATAATTAAAACTATAAAAGGTTCAATGTTTTGTTTATTCTTTACAACCTTCCAAATATTTAACTAATATAATATTTAAAAAATCTTCTCAAAATTTCGCAAGATATTTAATTTAAGATTACTTATCTATCTATCACTTAATGCGTGACTATACAAACCACATCATCATCATCATCATCATCATCATCATCATCAACAGCCCACAGTCGTCCACTGCTGGACATAGGCCTCTCCCAATCGACACCACTGAGCCCGGTCTGCGGCTCTCCTCACCCACTTCTTGCCGGCCACCGTGCGGAGGTCATCGCACCATCTTGCCAGGGGGCGTCCCACGTTACGTCTTCCGCTGCGCGGTCTCCACTCAGGAACCCGTCTGCTCCAGCGATCGTCAGTCCTACGGCATATATGGCCAGCCCACTGCCACTTCAGCCTGCTGACTCTTTGAGCTATGTCGATGACTTTAAACTTTTTATACAAACCACAGAATATTGAAAATATTAAAATTTATTCCACAAAATATTTAACCATTATATTTTAAGCTTTATAAAATATCATTAAGTAAATAACACTGAGCTGCGACTCTTGTACACCTTAAAAAAACTAATGAAATCTCACCTTCATTCCTGGTATGTCTTCTGCCGTCCAATTCCATCCCATGTTCTTTGGAACAGGAGGATATGGATACCTGATTTCCTGTTTCTTTTCAACTACAACTGGTTCTAAAAACAAAAACTTTATTATTTTTATTGATTTATGAAAGAGCCCTTAGGCATCAAAACATGAATACCGTCACCCAACCCGAGACATTGAGTCGAAGTCTCCATTCTTTTTTTTTATTGCTTAAATGGGTGTACGAGCTCACAGCCCACCCGGTGTTAAGTGATTACTGGAACCCATAGACATCTACAACGCATATGCGCCACCCACCTTGAGATATACATTCTAAGGTCCCAGTATAGTTATAACGGCTGCCCAGCCCTTAAAACCGAAACACATTACTGCATCACGGCAGAAATAGGCAAGATCTTACCACCAATAAATACGCAAATTATAATTTGCGGGTACGATTTTTTTACACGATGTTATTCCTTCACCGTGGAAGTCAATCGTGAACATTTGTGAAGCACATATTTCATTAGAAAAATTGGTACCCGCCTACGGGATTTGAACACCGTTGCATCGCTAGGTATGATTGCACCGGACGTCTTATCCTTTAGGCTACGACGACGATGCATGGTACCTATGTTATGGCAGCCCCGCTATACCTGAAACGCTGACTACTTTGTAGCACAAATAGGATAGTGCCAGGTCATTATACCATGTTCATCTTCCAAAGGATCTACAACATCCAAGGTTATCCAATAAAGTACAAAATTACCATAATACTATATTCTTTGCCTACTTCAACACTGCTGCTAATATACTCGTACATACAAATTTACTAATTGATGGCTTATATGTATAAATAGCGGCAAATATTATTTAACAATTATTATTTAAAAAAAAACTAACGTTCTTCTTCTACATTTGCCGTGAACTTTCCGATTTTCTTCTTCTCTTGTTTAGGTTTTTTTGTTTTAGTCTCTTCTTCCTTTTTGTCTGTAAAACTTTTCGCTGAACGCGAACTGGCCAACTTTTTATCCGATGAAGCTCCAGTCTTGGAAGCTGTAGTTTTCATGCTTTTAAGACTAAGTGTGTCATTCTGCTTCTTCTTTTCATCTTCTTCAGGCCATGGGCTATTAACCTTAATGTATTTTTTGTCATATAACTTATGGTACACAGGGCAAGGGTGAGGCTTAGCAAATTCAGGCTGATCTTTCATATCAGTACCTAAGCTCTCATAGCCACCGCAAACAGCACAATACGTGGTTTTGTTCGAAAATTTAAAATCGCAAACACAATCGCAGTAACAAGGATCATCAATGTCAACTTTGCTTTTCTTCTGTTGGCTTAAGTCAACAATAAGGTCTTTGACTTTCTCAGCAACATCGCAAGTCTTAACACCACATGAATTGTATATATTAGCAAGGTCTAGTACAACATCGCTGTCAGCTGGACTCGGGGTCAAATTAGCTTGTTTCGTACGACACGAGGGTGTTTCACATTTGGAGTCGTCTGTATCCTTCGTCATAGCGGCGGAAGAGCACGCACTTTTTGAGCATAGAGTTTTCTGCGAAGCTTTGACACTCGGACAGCTACTCGAACAATACTTAAAATTTGAAGATGAAGATGCTGGTGAATTCGTTGCACTTGTTTTGTTATCTTGTCCGTGTTCGACGGTACAGTAATAAACTTGAAAAACTCGTTCACTTGGTTTCTTGAATGGACATTCTTGCCCATCACATTGACTAGCTTCGCTATCGCTTTCATCGCACGTTTTTTCGCAGAGAGAATCGCATGATTTCTTTTTAGTTAAAGCTTCCTGCATTTGTTTTACACATGCACACTGAGTAGAAAGACCTTCTAGAGTAGTTCCTTGAGTGAAAGGCCCTTCGTGACGCAAAAACTCTTGTATTTTTGCTGCAAGTGTACACGTTTTGCTGCCACAGGGACCAACTATTTCATTGATATTGAATTCTCTGTTGTCTTCTTCAACTAAATTTTCAATATATGCTCTGATATCTCGAGCGATTCGACAATCAGGCCTGCCACAAGGACCACGTATATTAGCGACGTCAAAATTGACGCGTCCTGTTCCTCCAATTTTGCTTGTATCACCTTTTGTACAGATAGGGCATGGTCCACTCTGTACTTCGTTTCTGAAGTGCTCGGCTAGTTTGCCTTCCGGCCATGCAGTCTCTTTACAATAACATAGCCTATCAATATCAGTAGCTCGAATCCTAGGTCTTATGGTGGGACGAGGAGTTAGCATTCTCATATTATCATTACAAGATACGATTATGTTTCGCACGTAATCAATAATGAAATTAACATCTGGACATTTTTCTGGTGCTTTATATAATGAATCCGGAGGCTTATCGGCTTTCCCCATGCAACAGTAGTCACCTTCCTTAAAGAAACTCAAGTTAGCTCCCGGAGCGTTTTTGTAATCTGCATAAACTATTTTAGTGTCGGTCTTTGGCTTGTCAACGACGTAATTATTGTCTATTTTGTTACTATTTTCTTCGAAAATTTCATCTGTAGTCTTCATGGTACACATGTAAGACGTAGTTTTAGAATTTATACCGGTATAAAGATACTTTTTCACAGCTGGATCTTCTGTCAAAGTCCGAAAAGCCACTGTTACTCTATCAGACAAATACGAAAGCTTTATTTGGATGCCTAATTTTGCCATAAGTTTTGCTGTACCCTCCTCAAACACATTATATTCTTCTTTTAAGGTTACGGGCGGTGGCTCTTGGCAATTGTAGATTTTTTCCAAATAAGACAAAAACATAGGATCCCAGGGAATGAAAGTAGCACCAATGAAAGCCAAATTTTCTTCTTTACTCCAAAGAGAAACTTCCATGGGAAATTTCTTCATATTTTGTAAAAGAAATTCTGCGGTACTCGAGAAGAGTACTGATTGGCCCGACTGTATGGCTGGTTCTGGAGGAGGTTCTTCCACTTTACCTTTACCTTTACCTTTACCTTTCTTTCCTTTTTTAGGAGCAGCTTTTTTCTTTCCCTTTTTCCCTGGTGGTTCGGGCGGTAAAGGCGGTGGTTCCGGCATTGTTATATGCATTTGTTTCGGATCTTTGAGTTCGAGAGAAAATATATCTGCAAAATCACTCCTAATAACCAGATGTCGGCTTTCAACCAAACTCTTTACACTTTCGACGACAACCTCGAATAAAAACATGGCATTGCTAACGGCCATTTTTTAAATACACATTAAAATGGGTATACACTTTTTTACATTACAACTTTAAAATTTAGCGATTTTTATTATATTTGTTTTCCTTTTTTTGTTAAAATAACATGTTTATCACAATGACAGGTGAACTATGAAAGTATGAAAATATATCAATAATGTAAAAGATTTTAATCAAAATATTAAAAAGGTTGCTAATATTGAAAATGTGATGAGTTACTGGTTAAATGATTCTATCATTTATTTCGTTATACTCCAGTAAAGATATATTTTACATCTGTATACCTTGAACAGTCTGGTCCGAATAAATGGTACAAGGAAAACATCGCAACATGATGTTATGGCATCTGTTGATTGTGTATAGACACTGGGTAGTATTAATTATATTACCTATTTTTCACTTCTTTGTCCAATGACTTTCTTAATCCACTGAGGGCTGCTCGTTTTTTTTCTGTGGCTTCGTTATAGTCATTATGGCAGTATCATCCAGAAGTGTAGTTATGTATTTTTTTTTATTTCGATAACGAACTTACATCACATGTTAAAGGACTAGGCTTAGACATTCCTTTGGGGAACTCCATCCTTAATTTTATCCAGTTATGAATACAAACGAAAATATACGTATTCGTATGTCTTACTCTATGACTAAGATATTATTCTGTGAGATCATATTGTTTAGATAGCATCTATCGAACTTTATGAATTAAATCTTTCTGCCAAGATCTCAAAAGCTTTCACGACATCTAGCTCCGCGCGTAGTTAAAATAGCCCCTTAGGCTACCAACGAGTAAAAAAAAGAGAAATCTAGAAATATTGCGTAACCGTAGTATCGCTATACCTGTTAGAAATGTATGTTCAAGTACAGAGTAATTAAATCGTATCGTAAAGAGAATGTAAAACAAAATTAAATTAAACAAAACAAAAAAAACACTCAACATGAAAAGCGAAAAACAAGTCATATTAGTAGTTATTTCAGGCGGGGATAAGCAAAGAAATAAAACATATTTATGTATGTGTATTTGTGTATGTATATAGTTTGATATATTATGTATTAGTGTTTATTTTTATTATTTTTATTGTTAATGTCTATAGTATAAATAATTAAATTAATTAGATTGTACTCATCTACCCACTCATATAAAGCTTTCCTTCTTTGAGAACGGTTAGCTGGTAGATAACTCAATTGTTGAGTTAAGCTCGCCATTTTTTATGTCTTATCGCAATTACTGTATTATATTACCAGTGTGTACAAATAAAGAATAAATAATATTTATATGTATTTTAAACATATCCATATATAAACACCACCTTTTTTTTCTTACCTATGCTGATAGCCTTGAGAGGTTATTTCAGCTTCTCCTTGACGTGTAGGTGAGCTCACGGGGCTCAAACCGGGAACGTTGTTAACATTGGCCCTAGCAAGAGCAGTGCTTCGCAGAATCTACCACCGGATCGGAAACGCGACCCACTGAGAAGATCCGGCAAGGAACTCAGTGGGCTGTGTCTACGGGTTAATTCACTCGTCGAGCCGTTCGTCACAAACTACGGGTTCGACGAGGACGGTGACCGGTGCTTGAGGTACCTAAAAGCACCGGTAATAGATCGAAAAGATCCGTAATGACGTGCTTAGGGCGACGTCGACTGTTTACCATTCGGTCTACAGGATCGGGTATGAAACACCACCAATTGAACGATAAGCTTTTATAGAAAGCTACTACTACTACTCCTGGCTCCACTGATAAGCTCACAGCTGATTCTCAATTGTATTATTTATCTGTGGATTTTATCAATTTACTGGCTCAAGGGATGTCAAAAGTGATAAGTATCGAACTGAATTGCATCAAACTTTCATGCAAATATCGATTTCGGTATTCATGTTTACAATGAAATTTTAATAAATCGATGCCATTTGAAAGAAGTTATTGATATTGAATACAACATACATTAAACAACTATATAATTCATATCTGATATCAAGAACAACGATAAATAATCTAGTTATTTATAAATCAAACCTAGGGTACTGATAAGTTTTCGTTTCTTCTTCTACTTTCTGAGCATTGCAATTGGCTTCTTGCAATGTAATTGTTGTCGAGTTTATAAAATTCTTCAAATCATTAAATACATACAGTTGTGTTCTGCTATATGAAAAATAATATGCAGCGAAAGTTGAAGTTAACTTATTTGAAATTGTAATCAGTTGGGATGGAATGAAATAAAGGATCAGTAAAGTGTTGTTGCTGCTACTGAGACTTTAGTGGACTTTTTGGAAAAGCCCTAGAAGCCACGTACGGCACCATTCCGCCATTCTCCCGCATTTTGCATTTTATAGAAGCTAAGAAAAAACATTTACAATAATAATTAATATAAACAATTCACATCTGCCAAAAAGTCAATATTCAGTTTATTGGTTAGAAAAAAAAACGTACCTACAAAAAGTTTGTGTAACTTTTCAACGCATCGATCGATCTTATCAAGTATTAAAAATGCCTTAAAATCGATATACATATCGAACTAAAATGAATATAAATCTCGACAGGCCTACTTTGACGTCCAAATGATGAAATGACGCAGTTCACGAAATGTTATGAAATAGATAAAAGTGCCCTTAATCATATTTCAAATAGTTTTTCCACATGATTCTTTTCTTTAGTATAAAAACGTCACACGATGTGTGCTCATGAACTCCTAATGAAATTAATAAAGATGAACACTCCTTATCTTTTATGATAGTTTCTTAAATAGGTAAGTTTTGTTTTACAGAATTTAAAAGGTGTTTGTGTGATATTTTGCACACTTTGTTAAGAGTTTTTGTTCCGAAATATCATAATTTCTGTGTCTTAATATAACCGTAACATTCACGTTTATTTCGTGGTAAAAAAATGCAAATTCATAATTCTAAAATATTTCTGTAATTAGGCTAAATAATTGCCAGTGTTTTTTTTAAATAACATTCTTTAAAAATTATAATGAAGTAAAAACCTTAAGAGATAGAGATATTTTTCTCTCCTTCTCCGTCTCCTTTTTGATGATTCAAGTGTGATTGGATGTGATTTTTTAAAACCTAACAAAATGCTTGTGTGATATTTGATTTTATCAATTTTAACACGTTTCGCATATTACATAAAGAGCTAAGTGAATATTTCCTAGTACAATGGACTTCCTTGTGGGCGGTGTAGCGGGAGTGGGTGCTGGTTTCTTCAGCAACCCATTTGATGTTGTGAAGACTCGAATGCAGCTCCAAGGCGAGCTTAGAGCCAGAGGTCAGCATGCAGTCTATTACAAAAACATTCCACATGCAATGTATACAATAGTGAAACATGATGGAATAATAGCACTGCAGAAAGGTTTGGTGCCAGCTCTATGGTTTCAGTTGGTTGTTAACGGAGTAAGGTAAGAAAAAAACACTAGCTATTAATTAATTTTTTTATTTAAAAAAAAAACCATATTATACTATAGTATTTTGTGACTTCATTCAATTTTAGGCTAGGAATATACCAACAAGCAGATAACCATGGCCTTCTAAGAGACGAGCAAAACAATACTAAATTCCTAAACAGTTTACTTTTTGGATGCATAAGTGGTATGTCTGGAGCCTTCTTTGGCAGTCCATTACAGCTTGTGAAGACTCAATTGATGTCATATTCTTCGGATAAAATTGCTGTTGGCACACAACATGCTCATAATGGGATGTTCTTTGCTCTAAGTAAGATATACAAGAAGAATGGCCTATCTGGTTTATGGAGAGGAGCCCATGGAATGATGATGAGAAACTCAATAGGATCGGCTGCCCAGATATCTTCATATGCTGTGTAAGGCAAGATTTTGTTTGTCTGTTCAATTCATGTTTGGTTCTTCCTTATTATATTGAAGAGTGAAAAGCTATTTGGTTTAAGCGACAATCTTGCAACTTTTTGGGAGAGCAATTTCAAGCTTAAAATTTGGAAAAAATTAAACAAAAAAATCTTCACCTATTTGAATTAAGTAAACTAAATTGAAGTTCAATTAAAAACAAACTGTTGATGCTAATACCAAATGAAACACACTTTTAATTATAAAGATAGATGTTGCATATTAAGTGAAATATTGCTTAAAACAAATGGCCTTTTACCCCTTGATATAGTAACATCATTGATTGTTTACGAACAGACAATTCCATCATCTTTCCTATTACCGATTTTAGTTTCATCAATGTTAAATATAAAGAACTTCTTCACTGCTGTTGTTGTTTAATTTAGTTTTAGTAAATTAATTAATAGATCATAAGTTTTATGAGGAAATAAGTTAATAAGGATATTTTTTTTCTATTTGATTTATCTTTGCTGTCAATGCTGATGAGAAATAAACGAAAAATTTGTGATTTTAAAATAAATAGAAGAACAACCTTAATTCATATTTAGGTACATACTATTTATTAATGTATTTTTTTTGTGATTTTAATCTAGATTAAATCCATTCATTAAAAAACCTAAGGGAACAGTTTCCTAACATGACAGATTGCTTGGTCATGTTGGTGATTGATTGATCAATGGCAACATATATTTAACATTCTAAATTTGACTAATATTATTTTCTCTGCATGTTTTTTAAAATCAGCTGATAGGTGGGATGTCTACCATAACTAAGGGTTACACAAAAATTCCTTAGAATAACAAGAAAACATTCTCGAGATTGGAAGCTTTTAAATGCTGTAAAAATCGCATCAATACATTTGTAGTTTTTATCTATTACAATTTGTGTATTAATGTCATCAATGTGTATTAATGTCATATCTGATCATCGATCATCAGATTCTCATTCATTTTTATGAGATATATTATGATTTTCTGCTTAAATTAAGATATTGCTTCATTCCATTTACTACTCTCCATTACGCCTTGTATAAATAAAACATTAACAAATTGTTTTAGATGCAAAGAATGGATGGACAATAACAACATGTTCCAACAATCAAAATACCTCTCTGCATTTGTTGCAAGCAACATCGGTGCCCTCGTGAAGACTGTATGGTTAACACCCATGGATGTTATAATGACCAGACTGTATAATCAAAGTAAGAACTTATTTTCTCTGTTAATACTCAGTCATATGAGCTTATTTCAAGTGTTTTTTTTTATTTTATGAAAATATATGAACAGCCCCAAACTAGGAGGCTATCCTCTCAAGCTCTCTCTCATCTCATCTCTCAAGGCTACCTAAGCAGGAAAAAAAGGATGCCTTTTCTGTTGCTGCCGCAATCATACAGTGCCATAAAACCATAACTATGTAAACCAAATAATATGTTTCCCAAACGTAGTGACCAAACAATATTAGTTAACCATGAAATATATCGAGAATTCAATAAAACTACAAAATCATAATAAGAACATGTAAAATAATAGTGAACGAAACATAAACAACTTAAAAGTCTTTAACACTAAAGACTTTAACCTCGAATTTGACAAACTGCGACACGACAGAGAGTAAATCCTAAATACAGAGACCAATGAGACAATAATTCAATCTCTTTTTTTTTCCTACCTATGCTGATAGCCTTGAGAGGCTATTTCAGCTTCGCCCTAACGTGTGTAGGTGAGCTCACGGGTCTCAAACCGGAGTGTTGGTAACACTGGCCCTAGCAAGAGCAGTGCTTCGCAGAATCTACCACCGGATCGGAAACGCGACCCACTGAGAATATCCGGCGAGAAACTCAGTGGGCTGTGTCTATGGGTTAATTCACTCGTCGAGCCCTTCGTCGCAAGCGATGGGTTTGACGAGGACGGCGACCGATGTTTGTGGTACCTAAAAGCACAGTTAATGGATCGGGATCAATCTCTCGTCTTGTATTAATACACAACAATAGAATCAAAACATATCCTCTAAAAATCTCTCCTGAATTGAATATAAAGTGCATAAAAATGCTTAAAAACACAATTTGTTTCTAGACGTGGACGCTAGCGGCAATGGTGTCCTCTACAAAGGTATAATAGACTGCGCTCAGAAGATAACCAAAACTGAAGGGATCCCGGCCTTCTATAAAGGTATGGGCCCTTCGTACTTACGGCAAGCCCCGCACACAGTGCTACTGCTAGTATTCTGGGACATCCTCAAAGATCTACAAAAGAAAATAACGAACGAATCTAATATTATAAAAAACGAAAATTTACGATTGAAAAGTTGATGTGTCAAATTAGAATATCGTCTTTGACTTGCTTGTGAAGTTCTACATATGGAGGGTAGAGGTAAGGAGAACAGTCTCTGTGTGTAAAAAGTGTCCCTTAAAATCTGCTTAATAAAGGTGGCGCTACAGTAGCAACCGGATAAATTTTAAGAAAGGCGCTGAAAGTTATTAGAATAAGATAGGGAAATAAAAAGGACGAAAGAACTGTAAGCACTACAAATCCCAAAAATTATGTTATTTAAAGCTGATAAGAAAATGCAATCGATGTCTCCACGTTTTACCACAGCAATAATTGTAGGTTATATTGACGAAATTAGTTTGTACTACGTAAACATGTGAGGTTTTGTATATTACACTGTCACTAACTACTCTAATCATTAAATATATTAAATTTCCTAACTCAGCGTAGTTCAATCCGTTAACTGCTCAATTCATATCATACCTTGTGCCTATGCTAGCGCCATTCTGGAAGATTTTTGAACTGTTAATTAGTGCTGAAAGTGGGACACTTTTTCAAGCTTCCTCCCATATGAGACGGCTCTCCTTACCTCTACCCTCCATAGTTTTACAGCCTTGCCTTACAGCAATACAACTTAAACTTAATAATTTTTGGGCTGTTCTTTCGATACTAGGTTTGAACTCTTACAGGTTATACTCTCGAGTAGTTTACAAGCAAGCCTTTTTGCCGCTCAAATTTTAGACTTGAAACAAAAAAATCTGATTTAGTACTTAGCATTTTTATATTATATATTGTATTATTTATTTATTTTAAACGTCTACAATCCTTTATGCGTCAATCGACGTTCATAGCTCACATAATATTACAGTTTACCAAAGGTTACCAAAGGTTTGATACGGCGTGTCAAATATAAACTGATATAAAATACCACATGCTACATGTATTTAATCAGAATATTGAAGTTATTAGATCTATCGATCTATCTATCTATCTTTCAGCCTACATAGGTCCAATGCTGGACATAGGACTCGATAGCCTCACTGCCTCACCATAAAAACTATGAAAACCTAAAATATGTTAAGTAGTGCAAAAATAATGTTGAAGACAAACATATGTTTCGGTCTTCACATATAATAAAATAGCTTTAATAGGTAGTTCAAAGTTAAATACTCTACTTGAAGAATAATTCAAAACTTGACAGTTATAAAGTGTGGTTATAAAAGCAGGAAGTAATCTGTGTCATTTAACACAACAATATTTGATTTCAAAATCAGCGTGCCTAAATGCAACGGCAATCGACTTAAAAAGTATATCGCGCGTATATAAAAAGTATATATATAGTATATAAGTATAATACTTTGAACACCCAGGTATTATAAAATGTAATTCGTTTTACAGAATCTCAAAGAAGTTTAAAAGCTTATTACATTACTTAAAAATGATTATTTTAAATCAGATAACATGAAAGGCTTGCAGTTAAATAACCAGTGTAATCCACGCGATTTCTTTATCAAGATATCAGTGGGCTTTTAATTTATAGTTGGAATATTTGAGGCTCGCAACGAATATTTTAAGTTGTACATGCGTATATAAGTGACTTTAACGGATTTATTGATATCCATGCGACCTTTAAAATAAAATTTCGTTAATAAAATATATCAAAAACATACGTAGTCGTAACTGCTGAATAAAAATAATCACGAACAATGTCGTTAACAGTTTTAAAAAAAAAACGATCATTTTTGTCGATACTGGTCTTAGAATTGACTTAATTGATTTTAAAAGCTGAATCTCTGTGACTGCAGAGCACATGCTAATACTAGCCGCTACTGTATCATACAGTATGTTTTTTTTTTTAAGTATCAACGCTTCATTATGTATAGATATATCTCTAATTATGATCAAACAACACTAAAGCTTTTATGTGATTGTAATTTTATTTTAATTCTATATATATCAGTGTATTGAATAATCTAGCATTCTTTAATGAATTTTAAGATTCATAAATTCTTAGTTCAATAAGTAGCTCGAAGTGGTTGCGCCAATATTGTACATCGCCAAATTTTTATCGCATACTCAGTTCTCACAGATCTTTCTATGTAAAAGGATACGCAATTTTAATTTTATTTAATAAGGCTTCCTTATTAATATTGTTAGTAATAATAATAATAATGGACGAAATCAAAATTCATCACAATCACAAAAACGCTTGAAAAATATTCATTCATAGATCTTATTGAAGATGTAATCAGATCATATAGTTCAGATCTATAAGTATAATATAGGTAGATATAATTATCAAGTATATTAGATTAGTATTGCATTAGTACCTGTGATAGAATAGCCTGCCGTTAGTTACGCAAATCAGTGTATGAAAAAAGTATTATTATGATTCCTATATATTTTTAATAGAATCTTATTAGTCTGTAGTCTCGTAAATTACAATCTCATAATATATTAAAATGAATATTTAGCATTTAACTGAAAGTACAAATCGATAATTTTTAATAGCTGAACCCAAATTACCATTATTTTTTACTTGTTACAATATGAAAACTGTAAATGATGTACAGATTTACCTTCAAAGTATTTTATGAATATTAGAAAAAAATACATAGAACCATTAAAATTAATTAGAAATATTTATTAAAGACCATAAGGACGTGATACATGATACAAGGATATGATATGTTGATAATAATTTAATATCCAGATGTTGGTCATAATTACTAATAGTACTACATAAAACATAAGTCAATAACAGACTTAATCACGTAAACCATAGTTTTATTATCTAAGATTCCGACAATTATCTACAGAAGGTAATCAACCTTACGCAATTCAGATAAGTATTTTTTTCCAATACAGACTTCAACTTAATTCAGAATACATTTTCAAGATGAGATTATTAGATTATTAGTCAACATTTTTATCTGTTTTATTTAGTACATATACGCCTAAGGCATCCAAATACAACGTTCCTAAACATCAAAGCTGTTACCTATAAAGTTTAAAATTTTAAAACGCAATACTTTTTAATTATTTTAAATTAAAGATCCATATTTTATTAATAGATAGTTCATTCGTAAATAGCAGATTGTAATTTAAACAAAAAAACATATGCTTTCAAATGTTTTCCGAATTTCCCGCCGAAATACTCGAAACTGTCATTTGACGTTAAACGTCACATTTACCTAATGTCGGTTGATGTAATTAACAGAACCTTTCACTGTAATCTTGAAAAGTCACGTGTAATGTAACAAAGTTGCGTTCACTCTCGCTCTAGTAAAGTGCGGCAATTTTTGTTGATTTGTTGTTGAGTTGATTCTTTGTTAATTTCCGATGTGAGCTATTTATTATTAGAATTGTTAACTTTTATACCAAACACGAAAATCTTTGGTCGTCTGCAAAACTATTTACAAAAATATTTGTTAATATTTTTATGTTGTTGAATAGTGTTTAAGCTGTTAATAGCCGAGCTAATTGAATAAAATTGTCAATATAACTATATTGTTGTGTTGTAATTTTATATGTTAAATAAATTTGTTGAATCATATTCTGTTGTTTATTTTAAAACTTTATGAAATAAATTTTAAGGATCGTCTACTGTGGTTGGCGCTACAATTCTTCCTATTCATGGAAAAAAGTATAAATGCTTCCGAGAGATTTGTGTTACCAATATCATCAAATCATTAAATAACTAATTTCAAAATTTTTAATTGTTTTCAAATGGTCATTAAGACTATTTTTGGAATAAGATTTCATTGAATGATTGTTTTAATAACTTTAATATAGTTTAGAGGTCAACGACAAAAACTATTATACATAAAACCATATAAAGGGATAAAAAAATTAAATCCCCATGCTTGTGACGTCAGATTTATCTGAATTTGTTTTTATAAGATACTAGTCAAAAAATGGATACGCTGTGAATATTGCTGAATTTAAAAAAATCGCGCTTGTTATTACCTATTACTTTCGATGACGCTCTTACAGAAACAATCTGGGAAATGCCAACTTTTAACTGAACTAGGTGAGACGGACCGAAAACAAAACCAAACGAGTTTACCACTGATATTATTCCCTTGTCTATTGAACAGCAACAAACTAAACATCTGTGGATATCTACTAGTTGCCACTAGTTATTAACATTGCTAATCTTATGCCTCAGCTTAGGCAGGGCCCCAGTAGGGTCAGGTCACTGTTAAACATCTAATGGACGGTGGGCACATGCCCGGCTTAGCAAGAGAAAGATAGAGCATGCTTATCATCAAACCTTAATACTCTGCCACAATTTGTTCAATGCTACTATAATAATATCTATGAGTATACACGCGTCACACAATTGAACTGTTGGATTTCCAGGAACAATTTCGCAAAATGGCTGCCAGACAAGATGGCGTCGGCCGTGACGTCACAGATCTTTTGATGGGTGGAGTTTCTGCTATGTTCGCAACAATGTTCACAAACCCTATAGAGGTGGTAAAGACTAGACTTCAACTACAAGGAGAAATGAAAGCTAGAGGCCACCACGCTGTGTTTTATAAAAACGTACCTCACGGGCTGTTTGTGATAGCTAGAACTGAGGGTATAGCTGCTCTACAAAGTGGATTACCGGCTATGCTTGGGTTCCAGTTCTTTTTGAACACATTTCGGTGAGAAATTTATCGATGTAATAAAATTAAATTATGTATATGTCGACGGGTGAAGGCTCTTTGGTTAAAACCATATTGTTGCAAATTTACAGGAAAGTCATTTAACGTTTAAAATTTGGTAAAAGCATCATTAAAAAAAAGCTTCTTCAGCTTTACTGGTGGTAGGACCTCTTGTGAGTCCGCGCGGGTAGGTACCATCGCCCTGCCTATTTTTGCCGTGAAGCAGTAATTCGTTTCGGTTTGAAGGGTGGGGCAGCCGTTGTAATCTGATATCTTAGAACTTATATCTCAAGATGGGTGGCGCATTTACGTTGTAAATGTCCATGGGCTCCAGTAACCACTTAACACCAGGTGGGATGTGAGCTCGTCCACACATGTAAGCAATAAAAATAAATATATATATTTGAATGTGGTAAACATAATTGAAGTTAAATTCAAAGTATCGAATTGTTGATACCAATATCAAATAAAACGAACCTTTAATTACAAAAATAAATTTCGCGTATTAAACGAAGTCTAGCTTAAACGAAATAGCCTTTTACCTTTTACACCTCGATATGCATAAACATACCTTAAAATCATGTTTG